GCGTCGCCGACTCACCCACTGCCGTCGGCGCGCCGCGGCCGCATCGGGCGCGCCAAACTAGCCGGCCGCTGCGCGCGCTCGGACCGGCGCGTCCGCAGAGATGCACCAGCCAGCATCGCGCGCTCATCGCAATCGCCACCGCGTGGGTTATGCAGATCAAGTTGCGGGCGGGTGGGTGGGGCCTTCGCAAGGGCATGGGATGCGCCAACTCGTTGGTTCAATCAAATGCACCACGTGGCTTCTACTTTCCTGGACAAGAACAGATTGCGCCCCCCCGTTCTAGAAGTTCCGAGTTTCGGCACCCCTTGTCGCATCCGAATTTGCGCGCGATTTTGCTCCATCGCCCGTCATAAATATGAACGCGCACCATCCCGGCCGAGCTGGCATCGCCCCCCCCCATCCTTTCCCCCGCACCCCCTCCCCCAAGAAAAAATGCGCGCGCGTTCCTCTATCAAAAGTCAGCAGTTAGCAAGACTGCCTGAAAAACAAATGCGAAGTGCACGCGCGCGCGTCGTCGCGCGCGCATGCCGAACCCCCGAAAAGAAAAAAATGAAACGCTCACTGTCGCAAGGGTTTCAGAATCGAGCGTCGCAAACATTTGCAAACATCTGGATTCGCGACGCGGATTGTCAGAGAAGTCTGCGCGCGCTCTCGCGAATTGTTGAAGAAGCTTTGGCTGTTCAGCAATTCCATATCGCGCGACCAAACGATGCTCGCGCGCGCGTGTCGACATAGCTTGAAAGCTTTTGCGCGCGCGCTGTCGCGTGGGTTTCCGGCCCCTAAACAATATGCGCGCGCGCGTCGTCGCGCGCGCGCGCGCCGCAATCCGTCAATCACTTACGGTTTCGCACGAGCGCCAAACCCGAGCGCCCAAACCAAATTTAGAAAACACACGTTTGCGCAACGTCATTTTGCAACAAGTCTCGCCCTCGCGCTCTTCAGAAGTTGCGAGGAAACCATAGTTTTGTTGTCGACGTTTGCATTGGATTCGGGCGTCTCGCGCCGCGCGCCGAGATCATTCGCGCGCCCTCGCGCGCGTGCAAGGGGGGGGGGGGCGCGCGATCCGCGTCGAAGAATGCCATGCGGGCCAATCTGTCGCGCGGGCCGCGCGCGCGTGTCGCGCTCTTTCCAAAACCTTTATCGCCGACGCGATGGCGCCGTCGTCGTCGTCATCGGCGCGATCAGCATCAGCGCCCGCGCTGGCCGCGCCGTCGCCGTCGTCGACATCGTGACCAGCATCGCCGCTATCATCGCCGCGATTCCTGTTGTTGACGTTGCCGTGACACCGCCCGCGCAAGTCGCCGACTTGCAGTGGTGCGCCCGCTGGGGCGCGCCCGGCGGCCAGCGCCGCCGCGGCTGCATCGGTCGCGCCATATTGGCTGGCCGCTGCGCGCGCGCGGCGGCCGCGGAGACGCAGCGGCAAACGTCGCTCGCTCATCGCGATCGCCGCCGCGTGGGTTTAGAAATCCAAGCGGCGCGTGGGTGGGCGGGGTGTTAGCAAGGGCGCGGAGTGCGTCAACCCGTTTGTTCCAATCACTTGCACCATGCAGCGTGCGTCGTGCAGGTTGCACCGCGTAGTTTCGCTTTTCTTATATGAGAATAGACTTTACCGCCCCCCTGGGATTATCCGTTCCCCTCTTCGCATTGCAATTTGCAAATGGTTCTGTCCCATTGCCCATCCTGAATACGAGCTCATACCACCCTGTCCGAGCCGGCATCGCCCCCCCCCTGCAAGATGTGGCAGAACGTATGTTGCTCGCGCGTCCGTTTATTAAAAGTCATTCGTGTCCAAGAACCCTTTTGCAAACATGCGACGAAGTGCACGCGCGCGCGTCGTCGCGCGCGAATGCCGTCATCCTTCAACACCCTTTAGAAACATTTGCTTTCGCAGGAAATTTAACATATAGTGTCCAACGCATAAAATACGCAAGGCTTCGCAACGCTGTCGCGCGCGCATTCTTGCGAATTCGTCAGTGGACCATAGTTCTTCCAACATCCTCACTACATGCTAATAATTGGGCCGCGCGCGCATGTCGATATCGCCCGCGCGCAAACGGACCTCGCGCGCGCATTCGCGTTTTTGCAACAAAAAAAACCGAAGTGCAAGCGCGCGCGTCGTCGCGCGCGCGCCGCAATCCGTCGAAAACTTTTGTCTGCGCAGCGATGTCAAAACCGAGCGTCCAAAACGCACAGAAACACGCACGGTTTCGCAACATCAGTTTTGGGTATTTGACAAGGAGAAGTGCGTTCGCGCTCTTGCGACTCCTAGAGGAAGCAGTTGTTTGGGTTCGTTTGCTTTCTTCCACACACATGTCCAACCACTGCCGAGCGGCCCTCTCGAGCCGCGCGTTACGCCCATCGAGCGCCCTAACGCGCGTGCCGGGCCTGGGTGGGGGGGGCGCGATCCGTGTCAAATGTGCCGCGCTGGCCACTTTCGCGCGTCGGCCGCGCGCGCGTGTCGCATTATCTCCAGCGCCCTCATCGCCGACGCGGGGGCGCTGCCATCGTCGTCGGCGCGATCAGCAGCGGCGCCCACGCCGGCCGCGCTGTCGTCGTTGTCTGCATCGTCGCCAACATCGCTACGATCACCGTCGCGTCTACCGCTGTCGACGTTGCCATGGCGCCGCGCCCGCCCGCGTCGCCGACTCGCACTGCAGCGCCCGCTGGGATGCGCCCGGCGGCCAGCGCCACCGCGGCAGCGCCTGTCGCGCCAAACTAGCTGGTCGCCGCGCGCGCTTGGGTTGGCGCGGCCGCAGAGATGGTCTTGCCAAAGGCAAGCGCCCATTGCAATCGCCACCGCATATGTTCTGCATACCAGGACGCGAGTGGGCGGGTGGGATGGTTGCGCGAGCAATGGAGTTGATAACTCTTCGCGGACATATTGATTCTCATTTCTAAAAAGAGAATAGACTCTACTCCCCCCCCCGGACTAATCGGCCCCCCCTGGGATAATATAGTTTCACACATATATATATATATATAATATATATATATATATATATATATATTCTGCACTCGCCCATCCTAAATCTGACGTCATATCATCCCAGCCAGGCTGGTTTCCCCCCCTGAGGGCCCCTTTTTTTTTTTTTTTTTTTTTTTAAAAAAAAAAAAAAAAAAAAAAAAAAAAAAAAAAAAAAAAAAAAAAAAAAAAAAACTATGCGGTCACATGTTTTCCTAACATTGCATGTTTTCACGAATCCCTAGGACAGAATGAGACGAAGTGTGCACGCGCGCGTCGTCGCGCGCGCATGCCGAAATCCTTCAAACACCTTCGGTGCGGGAAGGATTTCGCAGCCGAGCTTCCAACAAACATACAAAACCACAGGGTTTCGCAACACAGAGCTGCTAAACAAAACTTCCGCGAAAACTCTTGTGAAATCTTAAGGACACCATAGGTTTTTCAAGATTTTCACACATGCTACCAAACGGGCTTCGCGCGCGCTCATGTCGAAATCTGTCAAACGCCCTTGCGCGTGTACCGTCGCGAGAATCCCCTGCCACAAATGGGACGAAGTGCAGACGCGCGCGTCGTCGCGCGCGCATGCCGAAAACCTTCAAAACTGGTAAGAAGCTGTTAAGCAGACCCACCGAGCCCTGAAACGTGCCCTGGCGGAGCGCAAACCACAAGTCAAGGTTAGAAACCGCGCGCGGTCCATCGCCGATGTCCACGCGCGCGTTGCCGCTCCTCCTCCTCCTTCTCCTTCGTCCTCATCCTTGTCGTCCTCCTCGTCCTCGCCCTTCTCCTTGTCGCCCTCCTCGCCTTCGTCTTCGGGGCCGTTCGAGGCGAGGCGGGCGCCGTCGCCAGGCGTAGACTTGCATGGACATATGAGGAGGGGACAAGGGAGGGTGTACAGCAGCATCGCTGATGCATTCTGCAAGGTACAATGTGGCCCAAGACGCCCAAGATGGCCTCGGACGCCCACGTTCGAACGTATATGCGCGCGACGAAGGCCACCTGGGCAGAGCACGCAAAGGAGGAGGGGGCGGAGGAGGGGGGGGAGAAAAAAAGGAAGGGGAGAGCAGGAGGGGGACGATGCCGACGACGACGATACCAAGGAGGAGGATGAGGATGAGAGACGACGACGACGATGATACCGAATAGGAGGAGGACGAGGACAAGGAGGAGGACGAGGAGGAAGAGAACGAGGGGGAGGATGAGGAGGAAAAGGAGGAGGAGGAGGAGGAAGAGGAGAAGGAGGACGACGACGATGCCAAGGGCGGGGGGGAGGGGGACGACGACGACGACGACGACGACACCGAGCAGGAGGAGGATCAGGACGAGGAGGAGGAGGGGGCTCCAAATCATTGGCACATCAAAAGATGTTGTTTCTCCTCCTCCTCGCCCTCCTCGTCCTCCTTCGAAGTTTTATGATAATGGGTAAGTTCCCCCCTCCCCGGCGCCCGCCGCGCATCGCCCTCTCGCCCCGGCGCCCGCCGCGCCCTCGCCTTCCCCGCAATATCGCGTTCGACGCGTATCGCGGAGGCCGAGGTGGAGGAGGAGGAGGAGGGGCGAGGCGGCGGAGTGGCAAGGCAGCGGGGGAAGAGGAGGAGGCTGGAGGAGAAGGTGGAACGACGAGGAGGCATAGACGGAGCAGGAGCAGTGATGTGGAGGATGACGAGACGGAGTCGCGCGTGCCATTGCCTTTGCGGGCCGCCGCTGCTTCGGTTCTGGCCCGGGCGCCCTGGGGCCCCCGGGCGCGCGGCGCTCGCCGCCTCGCTGGCCGCGGGCCGCTGGGGGCCGCGCGAGGGCGGCGCATGATGCCGCGCTTTCTGGAGGGAGGGGGAGAGCATTGCATTTGCATGTGTATATAGTGTTTCGTCGAACGCGATTGCAGTGCATGATTGCGTTCGCATTTGCATTTGCGCATGCTGTGATTGCGCGCGTTTCGTTTGTGCTGTAGTCGTCTGCGCGTCGTCGTTCGTCGTCATTGCTTTGATGATTCGTGGGCGGGCTAGGCGGCGGTGCCGCTATGATGGACCTCGGTGACCTCGGCCAGGGCGTCGAGGACATCGCGGCGCGGGCCCCGCACGGCGGGTTGAAGCGGAAGCGGGGGAACGCGCTCCCACGCAGCTTCCTGCTCGTCTCCGCGCGGAAAGTGGCTCGTCGGAACGTTAGCGACTGCTGGGGGTCAGTAGAACTATCGGATGTGCGTCGGTTGTCAGCGGCTGATGCTCAGTTACCCTCAGTGTTGTGGCAAGCTCGTCAGTTCGGTTGCTTTGAGCCCGCTGCTGCATCGACTATGTTGGTGTGGACTGTATATCGATATCGTCGGGCTGGCCCGGGCGCGTTGCAGTTGCCAGATCAGAGCAATAAGACTTGGGGGCCGATTCCGCACATTGATCCTATTAGGCTCGTGCAATTTCTTGTTGATATGGGCATGGCCACAACCCAACCCAAGGTTTAGCGGGGATCGGCTTGCGCCGAAACGTCTGCCGTGTTCGCCCTCCCTCTCTCCCCCATGCCCCCTCCTATGAGCAGGAGCTTCCTCCAGGCGATGTGGATGGGAGGGGGCGGGCGTCCCCTCTGCCGTCGAGTTCGAGCGGGTCCGAGCCCCATCCAGTCTCTACCCGTCCACGTTTCCCCTCTCGCCTCTTGGCCTCTCATCGGGGTGCGTTTGATAGTGACCCTCGTCGCCGTGTCGCGAAGATGATCGCGCTGCGTGGACTCCGTCTGCGATTCGCCCCGAGGGTTCCTGGGGGCTGAGGGCTGCGCGAGGGCGCGGAGCGCTTCGCGTGGGGGGATCTAGGCGACCTAGGAAAATGGGGTGAGGCCGCTGCCCCTCTGCCACCCCGCCTCGCGCCCAGGGCTTCCTGGTGCCGTCGACGGTGGCTGAGCAGATCCATTCCTCGGACCTGCGCTTCATCGTCACCCCGAGCACGTACGAGCGCGCCTCGGGCGTGGCGCCGCGAGGCGAGTCGGCGCTCCCGCAGGACAGCCAGCGCTTATCCACTGCGTTGCTGTTGCGCCCTAGCCTCTTGCTCGCGTTCCCCGATTGGCCTCGCAGGAGGCGGATGGGGCACGGGGAGGGCGAGGGCGATTGCGAGGATGCGGGGGGGAAATTCGGACGAGGAGGAGGGGGGGGAGGAGAAGGAGGGAAGGAAGGGCGGAGGGGGACGAGGAGGGGGAATGGGCAAGCAGGGGGTCAGAAAAGCAGCAGCAGCAGGGGAAGGAGGAGGAGGAGGAGGGATGACGCCTCTCGCGCTCTCTTTTCCGCCGCCGCTGCCCAGCTCTCAGGAGGGCGGTGGGCATCCTGATCGCCGAGCGCACGCAGGCCGCGACGACCCCGGCCCTGTTCGGGTTCGGCGCGCAGGCGGATGCGTCGAGCGCATTTGGAAGGCCATGCGTTCTTGCCTGCCCCCCCACCCACCTGCTCCAAACAGTGCCTGCACTCGGGGCCCGGCCCATGAGATCCCAGTGCGAGTGCTTCGAATGCACCTTCGCCATGGAGGCGCACTGTTTGAGGGTCCACGCGTTGCAGTACTCCTGCCCCTCCTCCCCGAGGCATCGTCATACATCATCTCCCCCCCTGTCCTCCTCCTTCGATTTTCTACCCGTGCCTATCTTACCCTCCTCCGAGCGGCCTCCCGCCCCCCCCGCCCCCCCTTAAGGTTATCCCCACTTGTCCTCGCCGCGCCCGTGTATTCGTTCCCAGAGTCACTACAGTGTCTGCCTCCCTGGCCCCTCGCAATAAACCGCCCTTCCCAGCCGGAAACTATTCTGCGGGCGTGGCAATTGACGAGATTATTGCACGACCCCCAGCGGACGTCGTTGCACGAGGTTGCAGAGCTGTGCTTCAGAATGGTCTTGCCCGCGGCCGAGTCGGACGCTATGGCTGCTCGCCTGGCTAATTGCATGCCAAAGTGCTTGAGACATTCGGTGTTGCTGAGGCTGGGTTATCTTGAGATATTGTATCAGAGAGAGTTCAAATCGACGAAGTTCAGCCGCCACTGGCAGGCGGATTCATCACCGCAACCACCTTACTTTTACCCAGTCCTAGAAGATAGGTTGGCTTGGCCTGATACTTCATCTTGCTCTCAGCTGTTGTCAATGGATTGTAATGCTGTTCATTCGAGTCGGTCTTTACCATTGTCGACTTTGGGGCAGGGGGCTGCAGGTGTGCTGTATAAATCTGCAAATGCGCCACACGCGTTGATGCTGGAGGTTGGGTCCGTGTCTCGCTTCAATGAGGCATCGCCAAGGGGGGTCGCGCGAACGAGGAGAGGAGGATGATAGATGGAGGCCAGAAGGAGGCATCGGGGTCGGGGGAGGGCGGCACTTTGTATAAGAGCGGGAGGAGTAGAGTAGATGAATACACACATACATACACATATAAGGATATGCATGCGCACATGTCGTATACATACATTTATGTATCTACGGTGTCGAGAGTTGCGCATGCATGCGCACGCATACGAATCATTAAATAGACAGCGACGGAGGTTAATATCGTCGGCCGATGCGAGCCCCAGGCCCGCGCCCCACCACTTTCTCTTACACAGTTCCCCCCCTCGTCACTTTCGTGCGCGGTGGCCCTCTGGGGGGGGGGGGGGGGGCAGGCGCGGTATCAAGTCAGGACTTGGACCGCGGATCAGGGGGTTGACTCAGAGGTCGGCGACGCGCCGCTGCTGTTGCACCAATACTCTGGGGACGTGTGCCGCATATTGGATGATATTATAGCTGGCAACTTGGAAGTGACGGCCCCCGCTGCGTCGGACGGATACTTTCTTCCGCTTGCATTGCGCTTGCCTGATGCTTATCATGTGCTCTACAATCCTCTGGAAGAGGCTACTGAGAGGCTCCCAGAATGGAAACAGCTCGGGTTGCACTACAAGGCTGGTGGGCCCCAGGGCGCAAACAGAGGTGGGTCATCACTGGCGTAGCCTGGGCGCTGGCCATCAAATGGATGAGGGGGGGCAGTGGGAGTAGGCAAGTAGGAGGAGGGAGGGGGAATCATTTTCACAAGTGGCCCCACCCCCTACCTGGTCGCAGAGATGGCCTGCAGGGCCCGTTCGAGCTTGAACCTCTAGTTAAGACGACGTCGAATTAGTTTGAACAGCTGTGAAAACCTTGAGGGGGGGGGGCGAAAAGTCCGCGCTGCGACCCTCAGTGCGAGCGGGGGGAGGTGGGCGACGGCGACCGACCCTCCCCCTATCCTCTGAGATTATCCTCCTTCTCTTCCTTCTCCTATCTCTATTCTTCTTCTCCTCCCCGTATCCTCCTTCTCCCCTCTCCCCACGTGCACGGCCGGGCCCGCTCGACCGCCCCCCATATGATGGGTGCCCAGGCGTTGTCGACGTTCTTCGGGAGGCGCGACGTCGCGCGCCGCTTCAAGGCCACTTGCCTCCCGCCTGGCGCGTCAGGCCATCCGATTGGTGATGGGGGCAAGCAGGGTGCCACTTTCGAGTGGAAATGGCAGTATGTGGAACGGTTCTGCAAGTATCTCGTCGAGACCCTCCCCCTCTTGCTCAGCCACTACAGCGTTAGGAAATTCTGTGAGGGAGTGGGCGAGGCATCAGAGATCGATATGGGCTTGGTAAAGAGGGTGGCAGAGGCGTTGAATTATGAGCTTCTTCTTGGCCTCACGTATTCTCTGCTGGCAATCTGCTCTGCCGTGGGGGTCTCGGGGACATGGTGCGAGGGGTGCCATTGCCACCAGCACATTCTCGATAACAGGACTCTTACTCGGAAGCAGAGGCTAGCTAATTTCAAAAAGGATTCTCAAAACTGTTTTTGGAGAGGTCGCCGTTTGGTGGAATTGGTTTGCGGGGGCGTCGATAAATCATGCAACAATCTAGTCGCGTCCAGGAACAAAGAGTTTCTTGATTACCTCGCGCGCGCGCCAGTGGCCCAGCGCGCTCGCTTGGTGGAAGTGCAGGACTCCCTGAAAACTGCGATTTGCGACAACTGGAGGCTGAAGTTCGTGCACCTAACTTACGCGCCATTTAAGTTCTTGGCAGCTCTTGGTGATGTTCTGGGGACTTGGAGCCGAGCTCAGTGCAAGGCCGCAGTTCGAGAATGCCTGCAAGAGGTAGATGACGCTGTTCTTGGGGGGCGGCAGCAATCCTTACACCGCGTATCTGTGTTCCTGGCTGTTGGTGAGGACAACCCTCTTAGGGCAGACTTGACATTGTTTGCGCAGGATCCCGAAGCCCCGCTCCCAGATCGGGTCGCCTGGGAGCTCAAACAGTATGCGCGTGCGATTATACATGCTCGGAGGGTGGAGGGCACGCACGCTCACATCGGCACGCTTCAGCGCAAGATGAAACACCACACCCCGCAAACAATGCACTGTAGGCTGAAGGTGAATGAATGCGCCGCCCTGCTAAAGAACGAGTCATTCTGGGCGTTTGCTGTCGAGGGTTGGCGCAAGAGGGATATGGAGGCAACTATGTTGGCGCCTATGTTTCCAGCTGCAGACAGATGGAAGATTGCAAAAATGGACCAGCAAGAAAAGAAAGGACTCATCTTCCTCTTCCACGTCCGCGGCCAGTTCCGACAGATGTCGTCTGCCGCCGCGGCCAAGACGAGGTGGGCCAAGGTTGAGCAGGCGGTTGTATGCAAAGCACCGATGCTTGATCCTACGGCCCAAGCAATCATGGCAATGCTGAAATCTATCACGAACGACTCCACCCGCATATGGGGCGTTCCTCGGGACACCCGCACGGGGCCGGCTCGGGGGGGGGGATGGGGCGGGCGGGGGAGGTAGAGGAGAGGTGGGTATACATGGGGGGAGAAGGAGAGATGGAGGGGGGAAAGAGAGAGAGAGAGAGAGAGAGAGAGAGAGAGAGAGAGAGAGAGAGAGAGAGAGAGAGGGAGAGGGGAGAGAGAGAGAGAGAGAGAGAGAGAGAGAGAGAGAGAGAGAGAGGAGGAGAGAGAGAGAGAGAGAGAGAGCGAGAGGAGAGAGAGAGAGAGAGAGAGAGAGAGAGAGAGAGAGAGAGAGAGAGAGAGAGAGAGAGAGAGAGGAGAGAGAGAGAGAGAGAGAGAGTGAGAGAGAGAGAGTGAGAGAGAGAGAGAAGGAATAATCATATGTCGAGAGATGGAGGCGGAGCAAAAGCTTCGGACGGAGTCGCAAAGGCAGCGGGGGAGCGGGGCGAACAAAGACGACCCCCCATGGAGCGAGGGAGTGAGCGACTGGACCAGTCGCGGAGCGTGCCGAGATGTCCCCCTCGCCTGCCCGTGCCAAGATGTCTCCCTCGCCTGGCGGAGCGTGCCGAGATGCCCCCCTCGCTCGTCTGTTCGCGGCATCGGTCGCCGTCTATTTAGTCTGCTCGATTAGCGCTCTTTACTCTGAGGACTGCCCCCGACGACCAGACAGGAATAGAAGGAGGAGCAGGAGAAAGTGAGCAGGGGGGGCGCAGCAGGAGGAGCAGGAAAATGTGAGGAGGAGCGGTTTCTGTATTTATCTCACTCTCTCTCTCTCTCTCTCTCTCTCTCTCTCTCTCTCTCTCGCTTCCCCCGCGTTCCTTCTCCCTCCTTCGCCCTCTCTCTTTCAGTTTGCATGTATATATATCCCTCGTCCTCCCTCTCTCTCTCTCTCTCTCTCTCACTCCCCCGCTCGCTCATTCGTTCACCCGCTGACTCACTCACTCACCCGTCTCTCTCTCTCTCTCTCTGTCTCTCTCTCTCTCTCTCTCTCTCTCTCTCTCTCTCTCTCTCTCTCTTTCTCTCGTCTCTCTCTCTCTCTCTCTCTCTCTCTCTCTCTCTCTCTCTCTCTCTTTCTCTCGCTCTCTCTGTCCGCCGCCCTTGCAGTGGTCATCGCTTGGGTGGCGCAGGAGTTGTTCGAGTTGGCCAAGGCGCCCGAGGCCCCCGAAACTGGTGGAGTGGAGGGGGCAGGTGTGGTTGTGCCCGCTCCTGTTGGCTTAGTTGAGTGCGTCGAATCGCTTTGCAGGGCAGTGGTTACCCCGGCTGACGTGGCTGAGGCGGTGGAGTCCCACGTGTTTTTCAAAGTGTTGTCCCCGTACCGCCACAGGCGCAAAGTGTTGC